ACCACCACCACCACCACCACCTTGACCACCACCTCCACCACCACCACTACCACCACCACTTTGATCAACACCACTACCACCTTGACCGCCATCACCTTGAACAGCACCACCACCACCATGACTACTACCACTACCACCACCATCACCACCACCACCACCATCTTGACCACCACTTCCTCTTGGACTCTGATGGAGACAACCCAGGACCCTGAACTTGAGAGCTTTGGGAAGAGTAATGCTTCCAGCTCAGTGCCCTTAACCATCATCTTGGGAAGATGTAGAGATATAGCCTGGCAATTACTTCTACAGCTGCTACTGCCACAGTTACCAAAGACCCAGAAAGGAAAGTTTTTGTTACCAAAGTCCTTGGCACTCTCAAATAATTTAACATCAGATACGGATTTGATTTTATTAGTGGAATACCATTAAAGAAATAGTATTGGCATCTGCTTTGCCACTGTACTCTAAGGATCATGGGATCTTTCCATCCATCTTGCAGCTGAAATTTTCCATACGTGTAGAATCTTCTCCATTAGAATGTGAGCTCTTGGAGGGCAGGCATTGTCTGACTTTTCTATTTCTGTCCCAGTGCTTATCACGGTGCTTTGCATATAGTAAGCACTTAATAAATGCTTCATCTGTTCATTCCTCTCCTCTGTTCCTTTGATCATGCTGTTAGCCATCTAGGATGCCCTCCCCACTCATTGCTACCTTCTGGAATTCCTAACTCCTGGAACCTGCAGTATCGAGGCCACATGTGCCTTCTAGGTCCTTGGGTACAGCCTTTTGACTGAATACAAGTTTTACAGAACAAATCCTTTTATGAAGGGGATTTGTTCTGTGAAGTTCAGATTCAGTCCAAGGGATGCACTTGAGGATGGAGAGGGCCACATGTGTTCTCGAGGCCACAGGTCCCCCACCCCTGTTATCCTCTACATTAGGCCTTTCTTGATTCCCTCAGTTATTAGTGTTCTCTCCTACCTCCCCAAAATTTCTTTGCATTTGTTTACATGTTGTATTTTACCAGAAGAATAGATGCTCTTGTAAGACAGGGACTTTTTCATTTTTGTCTTCCTATCTCCAGCATGTAGCACAGTGCCTGGCATAAATGCTTGCTGAATTGTTGGATTAGATTAAGGAAGAAGAGGAAAGAAAGATGTGAGCATAAATATAGAATATAAATTATATATATTATACACATATGATAAATAAATCTTCCCACTATCAAACTTTTATGCGCCGTGAAATAATCTAAAAAATAGTTATGACTTTCATTATGTCCAGAACTCAGGAGGAAGAGTAAGGGGAAATTCTATTTTGAATTGGTCCCCAAGGTATGGCTGCTGATCCTCACACTTCAACACTTCAGCAGTGATGCCATACTTCATAGGAAAAGACACATAGACATTGGTGTGTTTATATAAAAATTGGGACTGAGAGCAGGGGACTTAGTCTGATTGTACCCCAGCCAGGTGTAATCACTCAACAAGCATTAATAATGCTTAATAATAATGCTTTATAATGTACAATTAATTATATTGATATATTAATAATTATATTAATTCTAATAATTATATATAACATATACTAATACTTAATAATAAGCACCTTTTGTTGTTGTTCAGTTGTGTTTGACTGACTTTTTTTGTGACCTCATTTGTGGTTTTCTTGGCAAAGATACTGGCGTGGTTTGCTATGCCTTTCTCTAGCTCATTTTGCAGATGAAGAAATTGAGGCGAACAGGGTTCAGTGACTTGCCCAGGGTCACACAGCTAGTAAGTGTCTGAGGCCAGATATGAACTCATGAAGATGAGTCTTCTTGACTCTTCACCACCAAGCTGCCCTATTAAGCACCTACTATATGCTAAACACTGCGCTAGATGTTAGGAATATAAGTACAAAAATTCAAATATGATTCAATAACAAAATAACAAAAATAACAAAAATTCAAATTCAAAGTCTTCTTGCAGGGAGCAAATCGATTGGGGAAAACAACAAATACATATGTAAATATATACAGCAAAAATATATGTAACTCTTGTTCCAAAGCCCATTGGTATGGGACTCTCTTCTCATTGGTGGAGATGAATGCCCTGCCTCAGGGATGGGGTGTAGATTCAGAGCTCCAGCCTTTGTCAGTCGTCTTTGGGACTCTTCGAGTTTTGAGCTGCTTCAGGGGCTTCAAGAAACAAGGTGGAAGAGGCCAAACATACCTCAGGATACTGAAGGAAAAGACTCTGGGCAGAAGCAAAGGTGACAGGAGCTGGCAGTTTCCATCAGGCTACATGCCCATCTTGCAACACTGGAGACCTCAGTGAGTCTCCCCTTGGATGAGCTCAAGGGCAATCTTTCTTGGTTGGGTTGAGTTATCTCCCAGTGGGAGAGAACCTTCACTCTGTATTGTTGGATATACATTCTTCTATGCATACCTTCTCTGATGTCTATTTTGCTACTGATTTGGATAAAAGGATTTACTTTGCTATTCATATGTGTGCTCATTGTGGAACTGGTATTTTGTGAAGAAATAAAGTCTTGGATATAGAGCTTGGGGTCTCCTTTCCCTCCAGTAATAATGAGACAAAGAGATCAATCTAACAGAAGTTAGATTGGAGCTGATCATAGACTAATAATATTTAAGGAAGCAGATAATCTTAACCATGTATCTCTTCTCTCTGGGGAGAGTGGAGTGATATCCTCTGGCTTCAGCTCCCTTCTTCCCCTACTGGCAAGAATGAAAGTGTCTCTTGAGAAGGATAGGGGGAAAAGAGGACCAGAGATGTCTATTCTGCCTTCCTTCAAGCCACACAATGATAACCTTTGACACAGGTGATGGAGTCTTTCTTACACATGGAGACTGTGTCTGTGGCTCTAAAAAATTCTACTTTCTATGGAGAAAAAAACAAAAGAAAAAATGCGAACAAAAAGTGTTTTCCTGAAGGGGAAAATAAAATCTTATTTCTGAAACAAAACTGACCACAGGAAAATGCCGGAAACTTTTTTTCTAAATTAAAAACACACACACACACACATACACACACACACACACACACACCAACATTCTCCAGCCTTAAAGAGCAGGCCTAACTCAATGCCCCGACAGAGAAGGCTTTAGGATTCATCACCACAAAATAATCAATCTGGGAGCAAAAATCCTCCAAGTTTCTCAAAACTAGGCTATGGTAGAAAACAATTCATATTTACACTCATTCCAAGCCATAAAAAATATAAACAAGTCTAAACAGTAGGCTTGTACTATTGAATGTTGTTCATTTGTGCCCAACTCTTCATGACCCCATGGACCATAGCATGCCATGCCCTTCCTTCCTTCACCATCTCCTGAACTCTGTCCAAGCTCATGTTCATTGCTTCCATGACATTATCCATCTCATCCTCTGCTGTCCTCTTGTTCTTTTGCTTTCAATCTTTCCCAATATCAGAGTCTTTTCCAATCAATTGTGTCTTCTCATTATATGGACAAAGTATTTAAACTTCAGCTTCAGTATTTGTCTTTCCAATGAATAGCCAGAATTAATTTCTTTAAGTATT